CACATTAACTCTTACAGGATGGGGGAAATTGGTCTTGGTGGAGGTTTGCACTCTCCGAGTGCTTCTAGTTAATATCTTTAATTATTAAGTAAGTATCCTCTCACCATATYTCTGTTCTGTAGACATGACTTGATCAGAAATAAACCAACAATATTAATAAAATGATTATAAACTTATAAGTAGGGTGAAACAATAATGAGTTTTAGGGGATTCAGTCCTCTCTATTCTCCATAATTTAAACATACACAGAATAAAACTACACCCAAATTATTGAACACTGGGACAAACTGATTCTCTAAAAGAAAACTCAGACATAAATACCAAACCTAATGGTTGCTTCATATTTTTTTAAACATATTTGAGTTTTATGTGACCTTTAGGCAAAGTGCCCGTTGCTTTGGAAAAACTCACAGTTRCGGCAGCTGCATGTAGAGATATGAATGACTTGTAAAATGATGAGCACATTGAGGGCCTGTGTTTTAGTCACTGACCTGCTGCTTCACAGCTGTTCTGCAACCCAAACCCCACACTGACCCGGTACTACCCCCGCTCTGAAACCTGATCCTCCACCTGTGATTGGGCTGCTGCTGATGGGACAGGAGGGGGGGAGCAAATATGCAGATAAAAATGCTTCAAGGTGGATTAGTATCATGGCACGGAGTTTATTTATTTATTTATTTGAACATTCTCCTAAATTTAGGAGCTGCAGCGCCTGTCAAACGGGAGCACAGCTGCTTTCTGACTGACGTCAGGCCTAATCTGTGACCTGTGTCTGAAACAAACGCCCCCTGAGTTCTGTGAAAGGAATATAATTTTGGAGAAATTGTTTAATTCTGACTGGGATAATGAGCTAAAGGCTATTCTGAAAATAAATTGCTGCCATCTCCTGAGAATGGTGCTTTTCTTTCATGTACATTTTTGGTTTCCCAAATTTGTAGGATTCCAGGGGAGTCAAAGCTCATTATCACTGAGGGCCACAGGAGCATTACGGTGGCCCTCATAGTTGTAATGAACTTTGACGTTTCATGTTTAACTCTGAATAAACAGCATTTTAACACGTCCTTTTATAAACACTGAAAAGTACTACTTGTACAACTGACTAAACGTGAATTAAAACAAATACAGAAATACTATTAAAGTAAAAGTAAGAGACTTTTACTCACTGTTGAGTTGTGGTAAGTCTTGAATTCTGAACTCTCCCACTTTCTGACAGGGAGTTTCCATGMATAACTGACATGCATTATGAAARATGTRGTTTATGGTCAATGGTGGCTTAAAGCAGCTTATTTTAAGACATTATTACTGAGCTATGTAATTAATTGCTCAGTTACTTAAAGTCAACAGCTCAGGGGCAGGACAAGTATTAACTTTAACCTTTAAAATTTCTTTTTGTTGCATTTAATCATAAATTTAAGTTTAACATTAATATATAAACAATTTTCATGTTGAGTTGGGCTTGGGGCTGTGTGTTTAAGTGCGATGAGTTTGTGTGCACTGAGTTAATGGGCAGTGAGTTTGTGTACAGTGTGTTTGTGTTCAGTATATTTGTGTGCAGTGTGTTTGTGTTCAGTATATAGTGTGTTTGTGTTCAGTATATTTGTGTGCAGTGTGTTTGTGTTCAGTATATTTGTGTGGAGTGAGTTTGAGCGGAATACGTTTTAGTATGCAGTTAGTTTGAGTGCAGGAGGTCGGGCCAGTGTTTTTGTGTGGGGTGAGAATGTGTGCGGTGAGTTTGCATAGGGTGAGTTTATATGCATTATGAGCAGTGCACAGTGTGAGTGCAGTGAGTTTGTGTGCATTGTGTTACTGTGCAGAGAGTTTGAGAGCATTGTGTTACTGTGCAGTGAGTTAACATAGGGTGAGCTTGTGTTCGGTGTGTTTTTGCTCATTAGACAGTGGGTAAAATAAGTATTGAACACGTCACCATTTTTCTCAGTAAATATATTACTAGAGGTGCTAATGAC